TGGCCTGCGAAAAAAGAAGACAGCAAAACAGTCATCAAATGTCTGATCAATCATTACATTCCCCAACACGGGTTCCCGGAAAAGATCAGATCGGACAATGGGACACATTTTAAGAACAAAGATCTACAAGAGGTTGAAACCATGCTGGGACTGAAACACAAGTTTGGTTCAGTGTATCATCCTCAATCCCAGGGAAAGGTGGAAAGGATGAATCAAACGCTAAAGGTCAAATTGGCTAAAATCTGTGCACAGACCAAATTAACTTGGTTAGATGCTTTGCCCCTTGCTCTGATGTCCACACGGAGCTCAGTTAACAAAACCACAAGGTTTACTCCCTTTGAACTACAGACTGGACGGCCGTTTCCAGGACCCGCCACAAAACTACCTCTGACTGCTGACTTGACTGACTCCCTCGACTCAAGGTCATATTATAACCTGTTGCATAGTCTTGTCTCTCAGTTCTCGTTACAGGTTAAGGCTGATTGTACCACCACAGATGCCCCATCTCCACAACCTGGGACAGACTGGGTCCTGCTGAAAGTCACCAAAAGGAAGTGGACGGAACCGAGGTGGACCGGACCCTACAGGATCACGGAGAGGACGTCACACGCTGTCCGGCTGGACGGCAAAGGAGACTCCTGGTACCACTGGACCCAGTGTGCTGCTGCAGAGGAGCCACACCGCACCCTGACCGAGGTCCGAGAGAACCTGTCCCAGTGGGAGGAGCCTAACCTGGAAGAGAAGCAGCCGACATCTGCCTGACCAGAAAAATATCCAAGGACCAGGACGGGAAGCAGCTGACTTCTGCCTGACCGAAAAAAAAAAAAAAAAAAACACAAACACAACAAGGGACCTAAAAACCAGGAAGAGAAGTAGCTGGCTACAGTAGCGTGCCAAGCTACCAATTCTGCGGGACGAGGTAGCGTGCCAAGCTACCACCACATCCTGCAGGACGAGAATCTTGATATCATCACCCCCTGCAGCTGCCTGGAGCCAGTGAAGGGACCTCAACAGGGGGAAGAAGTAACCACCCTATGAACATTCTACAAGGGTTCTATTTAACACCCTCATTTATTTTACAAGGGTTATATTTAACACCCTTCATTTATTTTATCTGGGTTCTATTTCACACCCTCATTTATTTTACAAGGGTAATATTCTACACCCTCTACTCATTTTATATTATTATTCATTTACCTGTTTAAGTATTAGATATATGTTTGTGCTCATTGCATTTCTACAACCTTTATGTACATTCTGATTACTCATTTGTCCTGGCCAGAAGAAGATTCTGAGGGTAACATAATTCAACAAGAATCCTTTACAATAGTCTGGTATCCAAGTAAGCTGAACCGGTTGGCATACAGGGACAGCAGGTTGGGGTTTAGGAACGACAGATACTTTCGCGATTTCTCTAATTTAGAAGATTTGTTAACAATAGCAATTTTAGCTTATAGCGCTTTCTCTGGTACTGATTACAGCAGCTATAACCCATACAATTTCTTAAATTAACACCGGTATAAGCCTAATTATGTCTTGGCCATTCCCTCCTATTCTCACGTGCAGGCAGCGTCTCCTGATCCTACTTCTCACTGTTATCCTGCTATGTATCCCATTGGCTATTTTGTTCCTCTGTAATGACTTCCCCTTGCCACCCTCACCCCCTACATCCACTAAGATTACCCCGCTAACACCAACAGCCCATCCCCCACCACCTATTGACCGGCACAAGCGATCCCTACCTCTTCCATCCCCCTCACCTCCTTGTAACTCTGATTTTCTCTATCTAACCCAAGCAATCTCTCTGTGTATCCCATTATCCACAGCCACCACGGTTACACTCCCCTACGATGTTTTGCCCTCGAACCCTGCACATGGTCATTACACGCCATCTGATCTGAAAGAGCATGTTTGGTACTTAACGTGGGGATCTTACTCTCAATGGAAGTGGAGCAGTCTTGTTGCTGAAACAGGTGATGATTGGTCATCCTACTCCAAAGGAGTAGCTACAACTTGGCGTACCAGAATCAAATTGATAAAACAAGGCGGATCTAAAACAGGCCCTTTGACTTTCATAATTAGTCCAATAAACTCCCTTGGATGTACCCTATTTGTACTTGCTCCTTGGATTAGTGGGAGCTACTACTGGACAGTGCACCTTTGTGTCCGTAATATTACTTCACCTACCTCTACGGTCTTTGATATTGTCGGGCTAAGTAGATCTCACCCCACTCCTGTGTTAACTGACATGGATAAAGTAAATAAACCCTCACCAGCGATAACTATTGACACTAAAAGCCCTTCTGTTGATGAGACGTTTCAGACGGTTACAGGCATTTCCGCTAGCACTAACAATTGGTTACTCCTGGCTGAACAAGCAGCTAATGCCTCAGATCAAGATTGTCTTGTTTGCCTTTCAGCTCGTCCTACTCTCCGTATTGTACCACCTCCGATCCCTCCAGAATGTTTCCTTCATTTGATGAACGGGACTTCCCTAAATTCTAATTGTACTAAGTTTGGACAAATCTTTCCTAAGCAAAAACCAGGTGATGACATTGGTACGCCCTTCTTTTCAAACATTATGGCCCCTAATAACTTCAGTTGTATTCATCTAATTGGACGAGGCGGTCCTTTTCTAGGAAATGTCACCACAAATTGGTGCGTTAATACAACCGTGTCAGTTTCTTCACAATTCAAACCCAAAAAGCGTGCCAATCTCTGGTGGTGGTGTGGTGCTCCTCAGCTCTATAATGGGTTTCCCAGGGAATCTTCAGGTTTGTGTGCCCTTATCACTTTACTGTTACCTGTCACCGTTACTCCCGTAACCCTTCATGATACCCCTATTTCCAGCTCTTACTCTAGCACCCGACGAAAGCGCTCTTTACAAGCTTTACCTGCATTTCACAATCCCACTTATATAGATGCCATTGGCGTCCCCAGAGGCGTTCCAGACGAATACAAATTAGTTGACCAAATAGCCGCCGGATGGGAATCTATTTTTGTCTGGATAACTCCCAATAAAAATGTCGACCGCATTAACTACATCCATTTCAATGTTCAACTCTTAAGTAACTACACTCGTACTGCACTTGAGGCAGTTCACCAACAACTATCGGCTACTTCCTTGATGGCTTTCCAAAACAGAATTGCTGTAGACATGCTGTTAGCTGAAAAAGGCGGCGTGTGTGCCATGTTTTCTCACGATTGCTGTGTTTACATACCCAACAATACGGCCTCGGACGGTAGCTTAACTAAGGCCTTAGACGGCCTCCGCTCTTTGACAGAAAAAATGAAATCCCACTCTGGTGTAGACACCTCCATGTGGGACTCTTGGCTTGATGTATTTGGTAAATACAAATCGCTCGTTTCCTCCGTCCTGGTGTCCATGTCTGTCTTCGCTGCCATTCTTGTTACTTGCGGCTGTTGCTGTATCCCCTGTCTTAGGCAACTAGTCCAGAGATTGATTACCATTGCCATCTCTCCTCCACCTGCTGACCCAATTATCCAGATGCCCTTGTTACTAGCCAATCCTAACATCTATTTGGGAGGGGAACCCTCTGATGATAGTGATGACTCTCATGATGAAGAAGATGTTGTTAGAGTGTGAGAATGTTCAGTGATTAATGTAACGACCCTTTCACTAGTTCATTTCTATGCATTTTTTGATTGTTTTGTTTTTATTTTTTTGTTGATCATTGATGTCCTAGGCATGCACACTCTATGCCAACAGGCGTTCGCCCCAAAATTGAGATATGACAAATGGGGGGACATGGGGGAATTTTCCCTATAAACATATGATAATTAGGGTTTTTCGCCCTCATATGGAGTTGCATGCGATCCATACATGTTGTAACATGTTCAGTTAAAAATATGATCATGTTTTTTTTTTTTTTTGTATTAGTTTACTGCTGGAAATATGAGAAGCTGTAATCTGATTGATTGTTTGTATTTGTATTTTAAAACTTTGCTTATTGGATTCTTTTTGATGGAATTTGGTGTTATTGTTTTGATTTCTTATATCTTTATTGAACTCTTAAAAGAGTTCAAAAGGGGGATTGAAAATATATATCTCTCATATAAGCTCTTTCATATATTATTATAAGCTCTTTTATATGAACAAATATGTATCTCTCACTTATGCTCCTTATATATTATCATAAATACATTATTATATGCCTTTTCATGGAATCTTGTTATAATATCGAAAACCTCTCTGTGCCTTTTCTGCTCAAGCTGAACAGATGCATAAGGGAGTGAAAGCGTTCCTTCCTTCAGTTCCTCAATACAAGAACAACTGTCTTTGTTAGCAAAGGATGTTGCAGGATGTGTCCTGATCATCTCAAGGTTGCATGTCCTTGGGATGAATTGGTCTTTCATTAACAAGGCTATTAGCTGACGTGCGTCTGCAGGTGCAGATGGCAGAATTACGTGTGTGTATGGCAAACTACGTATGTAACATTCCTGTAATCTTCAATAAAAATCAGCCGTTTTCAGCAGAACGGAGAGAGTCTGTCCGAAGCTTCTGGCAAGAGCAGGTCGCGGGACTTGCTGCAGAAAGGCTCTCCCCTCTCGAGCGGCGAAACAGTGAATGGACTTCTGATCATTTGTCTCCTCGTTCTGTCAACTTTAAAGGTGTTTAACTCCATCTACTCCGTACCCGTGCTTGGTCTAACGGAAGAGAGACCAACAGTAGGTTGGAAACTCTGATCATGAATCTGAAGAAACGATGACTGAGTGGTGAGCTGGAAAGGCGACTTCCGTTTATAGCCGCGGTTTGTGACGTAGGTGCGACATGGAGGGAATCCCCGCGAGGGGCATGCTGGGAGTCCCTACTTCGCGGATTTTCACCTATCGCGGCCAGGTCTGGAACGCATCTACCGCGATAATCGAGGGATTACTGTAGTTCATACACCCCCTACTGCTGCTCTCCAGAGTGTTCTGCAGCATAATCAGCACGTTCTCTTTGAACTTGATAGTGTAATGACCTGGCTGGGCAGGGCTGGACTGGGACAAAAATTCAGCCCGGGCATTTTGACTGGAGACCGGCCCATCACCTGGTTTTTTTTGGAAAAGACATTAAGCCTTACGCTGTTCTGACACACACCAACGTACACTTTCTTGTTGGTAATATTTATGTATCAATCTAATAAACGTAAACCCACACCATCCTTCCTATCCTGGTATTCTAAAAAGTACTTAGTAAAAAGGAAAAAAGACCACTTGATTAAGGTAACACCCCAAACAATCTCTAACACTTGGTAGAAACCTGACATTAAAACAGAGAGAACTATTAATCAATAATGAATATTAATATAAAAAAGACATTTATGGAAATTTTCATAAACTGTTTTATTACCACACCAACTAGGAAATATTTTTACAAATACACGGGAAAGGACAGATAAGGGTGTAAAAGAATGGCATCTGTTGGACCTACTCATATGACCACAGTACTGGTATGTGTTTCACAAAAAATAGATCAATCATATGCAGTAGTACTTACAGCTTCAAAAGTTGCATGGTCTACAGAACATATTGTATTCATAGAGCCTGAAAAAGAGAAAAGAAAGATAGATAACATAAAAAATAAAAACTATTAAGGACAAATTGATTTGTATCACCAAAATACTCACTGTATCTATAAAACGTCCACAGCAGCAACACTGAACATTTAAAAACATGGAAACCTTTAAGAAGTGAAAGGACACACAGCAAAGGGTTAGAAAAAATTGCATTTAACATTTCCAGACAATGACAGTAGTGTATGTTTTCTACAGAGAAATGGCATCATAGTCTATTTAGTACTTACTTAAAATTAACCCTCTCCATGCATACAAAAGAATAACAGATTAAGGCTTAAGAAAACATGTTTATAAATGCCTAAAACCCCAGTCTCATATTTATTCTATGTGCTGTATTAGGTTGTATTTTCTGACCACATGACTTGTTTGAAGTGAAGATACTCTTAGAAACTACACCTATTCTTCTGACTGTAATTTACACAACAACTATAAAGCAGAACTTAATTTTAACTGATAAATTAGGAACATTGCAGTATTGGGAAAAAATAAATAAATAAATCAATTCTAAATTAATTCTAAGAGTCGAATTGGTACACACGTCCAAAATTGGTTCAATTGTTTAATATAGTGTAGCTGTTTTTACAGCAAAATTGGAATTAAAACTCCATGTAGTTGGTTAATGGCAGTTCTGAAAGGGTTAATGAAGTTTTTTATTAAGTGTTGTTATGAGGTGTTGCATCATTGAATTACAGTCATATCATTAAGGTAACTGCTCAAACAAAATATTTTTTTAGGACTGATGATTAAAATGATTCAATTTGAACAGATTGAATTGATTGGGATTGCAATAATGGATTTTAACTCCAGGTAATCAGAATTGATTTGAACTGATTCTTGAAACTTGAATCAAACCAAAGCATTAGTTTGGAATGTTTTGATAATTTTGTTTCTCCCTTACCAGGTTACAAAAGAAGCTTTCTCAGCAGGTCACTCTTCTCAGCTACCTTGTCAATGACCATGTCAGAGTCCATCGACATAAGAATATCCTTCTCAGTGGCCATCAGCATAAACATCTCCAGCCTGTTTGCAGACAGGCTGCTTCGTAGTCTGCTTTTGATGAACTTGAGTGTGGAGAATGTTCTTTCACAGGCAACCTGAGTGAGGGAGAGGGTCAGCAGGTACTTGTATGCCAGCCCAAGGAGATGATAAGCGTCTGACAGCAGGTTGAAGCGCCTGAGAATTTGATAGCAGCACAGTGGGCAATCTTTGCAAGATTTACAGCTTTTGGTCACAATGTCACTGTCTTCTTCCAATTCTTCAGATCTGTCTTTTGCTGTTCTGGTCCTGTAGTCATCTACAAGTGATGTCTTCAGCCTTTCCCACTGTCCAGCAAAACATATCAGTTCTGACTGAAGGTTATTTACCGTAGCACTGCTGTCAAATTTGAGGAGATGTGTGCTGAGATTCTGAAGTGCAGTTCTAGGAAGAGAACCTGTTCTGATTTGGCTAAACTTTCTGGGGTCCAACCATGCCAGATCCACAAGAAGGGGGCCATGTATGTCAAAACGTCTGTGGATTGCCTCAATAACTGTGTCTAGGATGATGTTGTGCACTTTCACCTCATACGTTTTCTCAGCATTAATTTGCGACTCATCTTCAGACATCTCACCGGCCATGCTTTTTCTCTTCTTGACTCTCTTTTCAGGTAGTGCAGCCTCCACTTCCATGTCTGTGTGTTCCTCCTTCTCCTCGAGTTTCTGATTTGTCTGTTTTACAAATCTGTCTGCAGCTTCCTTCACAGTTGGGAAGTCCCTGGCGATACTTTTGAGGCTATCTTGTGTGACAGTCACCATATGATGGGCGGAGAGAATATCCATACCCTTTGACTGGAGGTACTTTGACAAAGGAGTTGTTTGCTCAAACACTCTAAGAAATATCTGTGCTGTTAACACAGTTTCATGTTTCAAGAGAGACTCTTTAAAGCCTCGGGCTTTGGCACGAACAGCTGGCTTTTCTTTTTCCCTCTTTTCAATAGCTTCCAGTGTGAGGACTACATCAAGGAAGAGGCCATCCTCTGGTTTTCCAAAGTGTCCAAAGATTTTTTGTAGGGCATCATGTTTGGCCCACCACCGTGTTTCACATATTGGACTGAGGCGTCTGTGTCTTGCCTTTTCTTGGGTTTGTTTCTCCCATAGATTAACCCTGTGATAGGACTCCTTGATGAATACAGCTATGTCATTCAGTAAATTAAAGAGGGATCCACTTTCAATGACACTCTGTGTTGTGTCAGCAAGCACAAGATTCAGTATGTGGGCATAGCACCACACATGCACATGAGTTGGAGACTGGGCAGCCATAAGTGCTGAAAAGCCTTTATACTGGCCCTGCATATTTGAAGCCCCGTCTGTTGCATTCCCAATGCACATGGCATGGTCCAGTTTCAGATGCTCTAGAACTCCACAAAGCAAGTTTACAAAGTACTGCCCTGTGAATGCTTCGCACCTCACAATGGAGACAAGCCGCTCCTGCACAGCCTCAGTAACATATCTAATGATTACTGAACACTGATCATACCCTGTGATGTCTTGGGTTGTGTCTAGCTGAATAGAAAACATCCCAGCTTTCTTCACATCACTAGTGATACTCTCTTGAATGAGATGGCCAAGTGCATCAATGACAGAGTTGACAGTTGTTTTGGAAAGTAAGGTGATGAGAGATCCTCTACCTTTTGATCCACTGGACTGATGCGACTTCTTGCTTTTTTCAATGCAGTCATTCAGATGTTCTCTAAGGCATGCATCATATTTGCCTAATAGCACAATCAGTTCCAGAAAGTTACCATGATCAACAGTGTTATCGCTCAAAGTGTATGCAGCCTCATTCTCCACATGCCTATAGCTAAGTCCCCTCTTCCCTAGTACTTTGACCACATCCACTATACGCTCCAAAACTTGTCGTCTTTTTTTTACTTGTGCTCTGTGAGCTGACAACTGACTGCCAGCAAACAAGCTGTTGATGTTGCCTTTTGAGCACCTTAAGAAAAAAGCTTCAGCACAGGTCTTGTGTGTAGTGCTCTTTTCATGCTCCTCTGTACGCACATGCACATGTCGCCAGTCACTCATGCCTGTTATAAATGTGCTGGTGTCAGTCCGCCTTGCAAATGCCAGACACACAAAGCAGAACAATAAATGTCGTTCTTTGCAATAAGTAAGCCACTTCCTGCTGGAGCCATCTTTACGGCTGAATACCCTCATCACAACTGCATTGCTGGTGTTCTGCTGTGGGTGGTAATCTAAGAAAGCTTGTAACATGGCGGGTTCAGGGCGAGCAAAGTAATCTATGCCTTGGCTCTCACTCTCCTCCTCTTCCAAGTCTCTCTCCTGCTCTTGGATATCTCTGTCTTGCGTCTCATTTTCCTGCTCTTGGATATCTCTGTCTTGCATCTCATTTTCCTGCTCTTGCGTCTCTCTGTCTTGCGTCTCATTTTCCTGCTCTTGCGTCTCTCTGTCTTGCGTCTCATTTTCCTGCTCTTGGATATCTCTGTCTTGCATCTCATTTTCCTGCTCTTGGATATCTCTGTCTTGCATCTCATTTTCCTGCTCTTGGATATCTCTGTCTTGCATCTCACTTTCCTGCTCTTGCATCCCTGTCTTGCGTCTCATTTTCCTGCTCTTGCGTCTCTCTCTGTCTTGGATGTCACTCTCCTGTTGACACAATTTATTGAGATTATGAGGACCTCCTTAACAAGGTGATCAGAGACCGGATGACAATTATTAAGGATATTATTATTTAAAGTTCAATAATATCAAGCATAAATAAGAAATAGTATCAATATAACAATATTGTACCAAATACAATATTTTCATGTTGAACCTTTAACTATTTAAGGTTACAAGTTGAGTGGCCCCATACCATATCATCAATGCCCAAAACTATTTGTTAATATGTTGTTAATACGAGTTGCAGTATTTATAGCTATCCTGTTAGGTTGTGTAATTGTTGGACGGAATCTTTCACAAAACACATAATTAATACATTTTTTGTGTATGATTTTGTGCATTTAGAATATCTATATTAAAGTCTCCACAAACACTAACTTATGATTATTTGTATTTAATTCTACTGTACATTTCGGAAAATTTGTTCTGAAAAATTATTAATAATTATGAAATATTTTGTTTACAAATGAAATTCTTACCTTCTTAACTAAATATTTAACTTTAAGTTAATATTTATCATCCAAACGAAATATTTAACTTTTGAACTAAATACTTTGATTACAAACTAAATATTTACCTTCTTAAATACATATTTAGCATCCAAACGAAATCTTTATCTATTAACTAAATATTTTGTTTACAAACCAAATATGTATCTTCTAACCAAAATATTTCACTTTTTAACTAAACATTTCACTTGCAAACTAAGTATACATGTTTTTATAAATGTTAAAAGTTTTACCAAATAGTTTGAAGTTGAAACATTTCTTAATGAATAAACAATGACTTTTAAATATTAATTCCCTTTTAATTTCTCATATGACAGGCTAAATAACTGAAATTGTTAACTTTAACTGTGTAACTTTACAAACAGCATTTCATGGAGGACAATATAAATAGAACTTTGAAGTTCTATGTATGTCCAATTTATAGTCAAATCAAATTAGTGTATATTTGAATAGTCGTAAATCACATCATTGGGAGAAGGTTTTCACAATTATTTCATTTTAAGTAGTACTGCTACAATGCAGAGACATATTTATTAACATTTTTCTAGTCTATTAATAGTTTTTTCAATACTTTCTGCATAACCAGCCCATTAAGAGCATTCATGATCTTTATGTGGCCAAAAATGAAAATGAATTTGACATCCCTGATTTAAGTTCTACACATTTAAAATTAAAATAAGAAATAAAAGTATTTCTGTCTCTCCCCCCTCTACCTGCCCCCAGGCACAGCTGTTAGAGCCTCCCCTGCACAGTCACCAGCCTTCTATCAGCTACGTAAAAAAGAATCCTGGTGACAATTGTTCATAACTTTTCTTCGAGTCATTCATGTAATCTAAAATGTAAACAGTTTCTCCATTAACTGTTCAGCTGCTCGGGTGATTGAGCCTGGACATCTCCTATTTCTTCTCGATGTTTCTCTCTCATCAGATGCAAACTGACACCATGACCAGCAGCTTTTACAGCAAACACCGGCTAATAAACGGATCCGCTGATGATCAAATGCACCTGAGTTTAGATGTCACCCGCTTTTATTGCCAATAAAACAAGAAGAAGAAAAAATGTTGGGGAACGAGGAGACGGCCGGCCGAGCAGCATAAAGACACCACAGCGTTGTCTCTCTCTCTTTTTTTTTTTTGTTTCAGGCTAGCTAAACTACAGGACAAATCACGTTCTGTTTCAACTCAAACGGACGATTCGGTTTTTTTAATGGGAAGATTGGAAACCCTAAAAATTAACTGTCAGTAACATAGCAACCGGCCAACAGTAGAAACTCCGTATAATAAACAGTAAGATGAGTTATTACTGACTTTAAAAAGTTAGCAAGCAGGTCGATGACAATAAACTACACCTGAACTTGGATTATATTTGACCCAGATTTCTTACCTGAAATTCGGTTCTGCCACTTGGACGGGCAGCCGGTTCGGGTTTCTCCTCCTCCTCCCTCTTTTCTTCTCCAACCTGTCGCTGGGCTGAGGCTCCATCACCTCCTAAATTGATTTTACTTGAACCTTCACTACCAAACAACTGTGAGATTTTAACACATTTACCAGCATCAGCCTGAAGGGCCAGTTTCTTTTTTATTCGAATTTTCTCCGCTCCTCCTTTCCGTTTTTTGTTCTCCATTTTGTTAAGCTTGTCTGTCTGTTTACTGAGACTCAAACAACTGGCGGGTGCATTAGACCTCTGGCTATTGGTCCAGCCCAGAGTGTATTATGACCAATTGGCCAATCCACAAACTTTTACGAGGCGTCGCGTGGCGCGGCGCGAACAAGTTGTCCGCATTAACTAGAGGCCAGAAAAAAAAAAAAAAAAAAAAAAAAAGACACCGGCCCATGAAAGATGAAAGAGTCGGCCCAGCGGGCAGTTGCCCGCTATGCCCTATGGTCAGTCCAGCAGTGTGGCTGGGGTTGTAAGCCAGGTGCATTCTGGGTATTGTGTTATATGTGTTTCCTATCGTTCTGCTAGTTCCTATGTGCTGATTTGCGTGTTGTGTGAGTGTTATGTAAGCCACAGGGAAGGTGATGTGTGTTCTGTGGAGCGGGTTGAATTAGCATGGTTAACTGACACCGTGACTCTGTGTGATAGGAGCGTGATAGAGGTCTGTAGCGTTACAAAGCGTTAAAGAAAAAGCCTAATAAAGGTCTGCGTGAACCCCTACTGCCTCCTGCTGGTTGATTTGTGGACTATAACCTTGCCGCTGGGACTCTTGTACTTGCTTGTTACCACATTCCATCCGGCCACAATAAGAGAACGGCCATTATTTACCTCCGCTGACTCCGACACCGGCCAAAATTGGAGACCCGGCCTTTAATTGAATACCGGCCTGTATTAGAGGATTTACGGTATGTTGTTCCCCAGATTTCAATGCTGTAGTTCAGGTACGGTATGATCAGTGAGTTATATAACAGATATAGTGAATTATTATCAAGTAACCATTTTGCTCTACGTAACAGTGCAATAGTTTTAGATATTTTAGTTTTGACACTGTTTATATGCAGTTTCCAAGACATCTTTTCATCAATGATGACTCCCAGATCCTTTACTTCTTTAACTCTTTTATTATTAATCTCATCTATATTTAATAACATTTCATCATTTGAATATATATTACTAAATATCATAAAACATGATTTATCACTGTTTAATGATAGTTCATTCCCATCAAACCATAGTTAAATTTTTTCAATCTCTGTTTGTAGCACTTCTATCATCTGCTCAACATTATCTCCTGAATAATAAAAAGTTCATCTGCAAATAAGGTGCATTTTGCTATATTGGATGCCTCAACAATGTCATTTATATAAATGATAAATAGTTTAGGGCCCAATACCGACCCTTGTGGTACACCACAAGTAATGTTATTTACATGTGATTTTGTGTTGTTTATTTGAACATATTGCTGCCTATCGGTAAGACAACTTATCCATTTTAGGGCCATCCCTGTGATGCCATATTTACTAAGTTTTTTAATAAGAATTTTATGATCCACTGTATCGAATGCTTTTTTTAAATCAATAAAGATACTTATGAGATGAGTTTTTTTGTCAATGGCTTCCGATATTTCTTCTGCTAATTCCATTAATGCCATGGATGTTGAATGATTTGTTCTAAAACCATACTGACTGTCATTTAATATCTCTTCTTTGGTTTAGTTAACAATAAACACCTAAAATCAGTAAAAATAGGAAAAATCCATCAGAAGCAGCAAGGGATGGGTACCTTTCACATTTGAATCATTTTGGTACAAATTCCCAGTACCTAAAATCGATACCAGTACAATTTTGAATAATTTTGAGTGTTTAATAGTTAATTAATTTTTTTTCTAATTTTAAATATATACAGGTCCTTCTCAAAAAATTAGCATATTGGGGTAAAATTCAGGATTTTCTGTAATGTACCGAAAAACATTAGACTTTCATATATATTAGATTCAGTATACAAAACTGAAGTAGTTCAAGCCTTTTATTGGTTCTAATATTGATGATTTTGGCATACAGCTCATGAAAACCCAAAATTCCTATCTCAGAACGTTTTCTTGTTACCATGCCACTTGCCCTGTTTAAATCTTGCTCGCAGTGACTGATGACACTATGTTTTTGTGCATGCGCAGCTGTCTACCATGCACATTGCTGTGTCTCAAGCTCTTGTTAATAAATGGCAGGTACCAAATTCAACGTTACTGAAACAATGCACCGTTTCATATCACTTGAATATGTCCTCTATTGGTACCACGGGATTCAGTCGGTGCCTTAAAAAGTACACAAAGGGAGTACCCATCCCTCGAAGCGAGGCTCAGACCATGTACATATTTATTCCCTCATGAATCAAAAATATTTGTGTTTGTGAAAATTAATGTCTACACAAAACTCCCCAAACTCCATTCACAGTTTATTCTGCTAGCTCCCAGAAGTTAGGAGAGGTTCACTGTGAACTGTATAATTATTGTTCTTATTGCAACACCATTGGCCACTCTGAATTTTGCACGCATTAGCCCTACATTAGTTGCTCAAAGTAAATAGGTGGGGAAAACACTTGAATCAGATCAATGTCAAACAAGAGATTTACATTGATGGACTCTCCCATCTTGACTTGTGACAGGGAAGGGATGCTGTTGATTTAGCGTCCACAAGAGAGCAGAGTCTCGCCTTGTTGAAGCTCAGTCCCACAGCATGGTGGAACCACCACCACATTTTACTGTAGGTAGCTGGTGTTTTTCTTTGAATGCTGTTATTTCTCCTCCATGCATAATGCCCCTTGCAATGCCCAAATTTCTTAATTCTAGTTTCATGGTCAGTCTCCTGGTCAATTTAAATACAAGCAGAGCCTAAGAGAGCTGGAATCAGAGACGGGTGCCCTGCCGCTTAGGTCGGAGATCAGCGGGAGATTAGATGCATGATTACCCAAGCTAAAGAAGGTTTTTCTGGCACTTTTAGTGAGAGAAACGCAGTTAAGCAAGTCCAAAGTAAAGCAACATCAACTTAAAGTGCTGCAGTGTTTCTGTAATCTCCCTCAGAGAGCTCCACAGGCGACCAACACAAATACAGCTTGCGTGTGCTTGCTGTTCCCAACCGAGAGGCAGGAGAGGCAGGCGCCCTCCTTGCTGGGCTAACTTCGCAAAGATGAAGCAGCAGATTCGTAGATCTCTGATTGCAGGGCTGCGGCTGTTAAAGGGAAAAGTACATTACCAAAATCTCCGCAGCAACAACCTCATGAATCTTTGACGGCAGTGGACCAGCGAAGCCCCAAAGCCTCGGCTAGCTAGTCTCGGTCAGCTACCCAGCCAACCCCACCAACAAGATATTCCAACCCATCTTTCACCAAGCAGTGTTATGTTACATGAATAGCCTTTCCCCCATTCAACCAGAAAAAAATGAAGAACAGAAATATAATTTTACAGACTGAAAAAAATTAAAATGAAGCAGAGACTTCTTGGATGA